CCGCCCTCGCTCCGCTCCTCCCGGCTTTCTTCCCCGCTCTCCTCCCGCAGGTCCCGGAGCTCCGCCACCGCCGGGTGCAGGCGCGATGCGGCAGCTGTGCCGGGGCCGCGTGCTGGGCATCACCGTGGCCATCGCTCACGGGGTCTTCTCGGGCTCCCTCAACATCTTGCTCAAGTTCCTCATCAGCCGCTACCAGTTCTCCTTCCTGACCCTGGTGCAGTGCTTGACCAGCTCCACCGCGGCGCTGAGCCTGGAGCTGCTGCGCCGCCTCGGGTTCATCGCGGTGCCCCCCTTTGGCCTGAGCCTGGCACGCTCCTTCGCGGGGGTCGCCGTGCTCTCCACGCTGCAGTCCAGCCTCACGCTCTGGTCCCTGCGCGGCCTCAGCCTGCCTATGTACGTGGTCTTCAAGCGCTGCCTACCCCTGGTCACCATGCTCATCGGCGTCCTGGTGCTAAAGAACGGCGCGCCCTCGCCCGGGGTACTCGCCGCCGTGCTCATCACCACCTGCGGCGCGGCACTGGCAGGTGAGCGGGACCCGCGCGGACCCCCAGCATCCATCCCTCCCCACCCCAGGCAGGGACCGCTGGGATCACTTAGTGTAACGCCCTCACTTCCAAATGGGGAGACTGAGGCAGAGAGAGAGCTTTGAACGCGGTCGCTCGACTCGAAAACGGACTTCTGAGACCCAGCAGAGCCTTTCCTAGCGCTCCGGCCTCCTCCTTCAGAGCCACCTCCTCCCCCCGCCACCTTTTCTTGGCTTCCGACCCCCGCCCCTGCCTCACCGCATATCGCCCTTCCCTCCTCGCCCCCCGCCTCCGTCTTTCCTCTTTATTCCCTCCTTCCTCCAGGTGGGGTGGGAGAGCTGCCAGAGCCTGGGCGCTGGAGTCCCCCGACCGAGCCGGAAGGAGGGGGCAGTGAACTTTCCTGGGTCACGCGGGGCCGAAGTGGGGAGGGACTATGGGAGCCAAGCTTGGGCCCCAGGTCTAGTCTGGGGTCTCTGGCGCGGCGCCCGGGGCTGCGAGCGATAGGCAGAAGGCACCGGATTGAGACCAGTGTGGGTGGCGGTGGGCCGGGGGAGGCGGGGTTGGAGGACCGAGCGAGATGGGAGCCAGCGGAATGGGAAACCTTCTTTGGGGGTCGAGGGGGAGATGTTCTTTGCCCTGTGCCCAGCCGGCCCCGGGTTAGAAACGGCTAGCTGGAACCCCCAGTCTCCTCTAGCGCCCCATGGAGGGGGCAGGAGTACCACGCGCCTGGGTGACCTCCGTGCCAGCTCGGGAAAGCCACAGCGCCCACTCCGAGGGCATCTGCGTTGTCGGGGCCTCTGTCATGAATAGAGGTAGACAAGAGACCAGGCGCGCCTCTCCTCCTGCGTCCAACTGGGCATAGACTGGGCTTGACTCTTCCATTTGAAACCCGTGGGCAGAGCTGAGGCGCGAACCCCGTCTACTTTCCAACCCGACGCGTTGCCCGAGTGGATAGATACCCACCCGCGCCAACCCGGTGTCTCCTCTTTTTCCTTCCTGCCCCGGCTCCTCCGTCCACTTGATGCGCTTCAGGAGCCGGCGACCTGACAGGCGACCCCATCGGGTACGTTACGGGCGTGCTGGCGGTGCTGGTGCATGCCGCCTACCTGGTGCTCATCCAGAAGGCAAGCGCAGACACGGAGCACGGGCCTCTCACCGCGCAGTACGTCATCGCTGTCTGCGCCACCCCACTGCTGGTCATCTTCTCCTTCGCTAGCACCGACTCTATCCACGCCTGGGCCTTCCCCGGCTGGAAGGACCCGGCCATGGTGTGCATCTTCGTGGCCTGCATCCTGATCGGCTGTGCCATGAACTTCACCACATTGCACTGCACCTACATCAACTCGGCGGTGACCACCAGCTTCGTGGGCGTGGTGAAGAGCATCGCCACCATCACGGTGGGTATGGTGGCCTTCAGCGATGTGGAGCCCACCTCTTTATTCATTGCCGGGGTCGTGGTGAACACCCTGGGCTCCATCATTTACTGTGTGGCCAAATTCTTGGAGACCAGAAAGCAGAGCAACTACGAGGACCTGGAGACGCAGCCTGGGGGAGAGGAGGCGCAGCCAGGTGGAGACCAGCTGCCGTTCATCATGGAGGAGCTGCCCGCGGAGGGCGGAAATGGCGGGTCAAAAGTGGGGATGGCTACAGGTGGCTCCACTCAGCAGGGTGGGCAAGAGGCAAGGGGCCGCCCCAGAGGAGTCCCGCTGCTGGCTAGGAGCTCCAGGATCTCAGACAGCCCTGAAGAAGTGAGCAAAAGGTCATTAAAGGATGCTTACCTCGAAGTGTGGAGGCTAGTTAGGGGAACCAAGTATATGAAGAAGGATTATTTAATAGAAAATGAGGAGTTACCCAGTCCTTGAAAAGGAAATGCCTGTTATGTATATATGTACATACACTTATTTTATATGTTAGAGATAACATACTTTAATGAGAGGCCGCCCAAGTATATGCTTTGAGGCGTAGGGGAGAAAAGCAAGGAAAGAAGCTGAATGGACTGACAGCAACAAAATTAACACCCATGTGAATTATTTAGCATGAGTTTACCGGAGGCATCACAGAGACAAAAGAATGTGAAGGTTCTTAACCAAGTAAGGCAGGGTTTCAGCTGCAGACTCCTGGCACATTTTTTTTTTTGTCTTTACAACCGTAACCAAACATCTGCATGTACCAAGAGTCCCTCAACCACCCCCTCCAAAGATGGTGTGTAGAAATGATGACAGCAATTAATAAGCTCAAAGATTACATGCAGGGGCACCTTTTTGATGATAGAGTTGCAGTTTTTATGGCCAGCTGGGCAAAGAGTATATTATTGAAATAACATATTTAAGGATACTGAGTTGATGTTTACTGTTTATAGTCATCTGAAATATCATGTTTACGCTCACTTTTCCTCATTTTGAAAAAAAATATGAGTGCTCTACGATTCTATTATACATTGGTAGAAAAATTTAAAGCTATTTTGAGAATATGAGTTCTTAGCTTTAGTCCTGAAGTTTAAAGTTGGCTTTTGGTGATTATAAAAATATTTTAAAGGTTGGTTTGGTTCATTGCTTTATAATATTTATTTTTGAATGCCTGAGCCTTTTATAAAAACAGTTTCACTGTGTCCAGTATCCTTTCAAGTAAATGCAATGGCTGGCATACAATTCAGTATTAACTGAAGCCAGACAGAAATGAGACCATTCTGTTAAAGCTAGCCTTTCAAAATCCACTGCACATCCCAAACCGTGTTATAAAAAGAGCAACTGCTATATTCACTTTATGATATTTTTCTATCCTAAATTTGTCAAAATAAAGTATGTGTCTATCTGCTTAAAGTTATATTGTTAGACATTTGTTTTGGGCACCTTTGTTTTATTGTTGTTGTGTGGCTGTGTCTGCCTTCAATGTATGGTGTTTAGTATCTGGGATACAGGAGCCACCCCATCAGGAACTTCCTAAGCCAGCATGGCAGTTTGGTTTAAAACAACAATAATATCAAAAACACTCTCATTCCAGTTAAGCAAACTGTTATAAAGCAAAATAAAGTCCTGCCTCCTGCTGCCTATGAAAGCCATCCACATCCGACTTCAGTTAACATGGAGTTTGAGATGTAACAGTAGCAGGCAGCGAGGGGGATGTCTTCCTGCCAGCCCCCTCCAGGAGAAGCACTTGGAGGTTGAAGGCACTCATTATTTGCCAGCATGTTCCTGAGACTCTCAGATGGCAGCATATATTTTTCTTTATTTTCCAAAATCAAAACAAACCAAAAAGCAGAGGCATCAGTTTGTCTCTACAAGCTGGTAAGTGTCCTTGTGATGGTTTGTGGTTGGTTCTGGTTTACTAGTTTTCATGGGTAATTGGCTGTTTCCATAGGTACTTCTACAAGCCATTTAAGATGTAGGAGCTCTCATATGGCTGCAGTTAGAAATGGTTGGCTAGAGTTATAATGACTTCTTTCAAAATCAGCATTAATTTTAATGCCAACATGCCAGAAGGCAGCATCCGGCTGCAAGTCTCTGAAGCTGAGAATTAGTGAAAAGCAGCGAAGTTGAACAAAATAAATATATATTTTTGTTAATTCCACTATTAGATAAATGGGTAGAATGATTGTTTTTCACTCAAAAAAGTCCCTTTTGGTTAAAACTGTGAGTTGCATTTATTACAAAAAGATAACTGTCAACAAACTTGTAGAGACATTGAATCAGTAGAGTTCTCCAGAGAAACAGAACCAAGAAGGTGAAGGTGTGTGTGTATGTGTGTAGAAAACCTAGAAGATTGATCTATCTATCTGTCTATTTATCTATCTATCTATCTAACTATCTGAAAGAGAGAGAGAGAGACTTTAAAGAATTGCCAATTGTGGGAGTTGGTGAATCTAAAATCTGTAGGGCAGGCCAGCAAGTGAGAAACTCCGGTTGGGATTTATGTTGCAGTCTTGAGGCAGAATTGCTGCTGCTTCTGCAAACCTCATTCTTTGCTCTTAAGGCCTTCAGCTGATTAGATAAGGCCCACCCACATTATGGAAGGTAATCTCCTTTACTCAAAATCCACTGAGTGTAAATACTAATCACATCTAAAAAGTATCTTCACAGCAACATTTAGACTAACTACTGTTGGACCAAACAACTGAGCGCCACAGCCTAGACAAGTTGACACAGAAAAATAACCATCACAGACACCTATGGCGGGAGGGGTGGGAGTGGGAGGGAGGATAGGCAAAACCCAGGAAGATCAAAAGTGCCAAGCGCATTGGTTTGGGCAAAGCTTGGGAGTTTCTACACGGAGTAAGAAAGTGAGTCACAGGACAGGGCAGAATGGGAGTCAGTGCCTGGGGCTCAGCCGCAGGAGGGCATGAACAGGTGGCAGGCCTGGCCTGGCTTGCAAATCCTTCCTCCACTGTCAGTAACATGTGAGCCCGTCTATAGACTCAGGTCCTCTCTGACCTTTGGGCTCTGACAAAGTACCGAGTCGGACAGGAAGGAGACTTCTAATACTCTCCAGGACCTCACCGTGGCAGGGACTCCCCTGGAAGTCATCACTGTTGCTTGACTGACCAAGTCTTTGTGCCCCAGTTCTAATGACTTGGATTCTCCCTTTTCTGAGAATGTGCCCCTTTTCTATACCCCTGTGGGTGTCTGGTCCCAGACTCGACAATCTATTCCTCTATCAGTTCTTCAAGATGGAGGCCCTGCCTCACACTCACTTGCCACTTCGCAGCTGGAATCTGTCTGTGGGACATGGCATGATGTCAGAGCTGCTCATTGCTGGCCCTGCTGCTGGCCCCTCCCCTAAATGCTGTCTAACCCTCTGTTGTTAATTGAGGCATAGATCAATCAGAAGCTCTGGGGCAAATGACTGCCCAGAACACTGCAGGTGAGAAAGTGTGTACGTGCTACCGTGGGTTGCTGAGCAGAGCTGAAGCAGTAACCTAAACTTCTGCAAGACTTCCTACAAAAGTGGGGCCAGAAGGCCTAATAGTCTTTGTGAGTAATTCTTCACCAAGACAAAGCTGGGTGAAACTCACAATTCCCTAACTAACAGAAGATTTTGGGGGGCATTTTAGTTTAAGAAGTTTCAGTTGACCTATCTGCAAGCTTACTGAGTCTTGTTTTGGCCATGTCCAGTCTGCTCATGAGCCCATCAAAGGCATTCTTCCTTTCCATCACAGTGTTTCAATTAAAAAAAAAAAAAAAAGAAACTTCTAGCATTTCCTTTGAATTCTTTCTCAGAATTTCCATCTCCCTGCACACATCGCCCGTCTGCTCTAGCTTGTTGTCTACTTTTCCCATTAGATCCATTAGCATATTAATAATCACTACTTTAAATTGCCTGGCTGATGAGTCCAGAATCTGTGTCATATCTGAGTCTGGTTCTGATGCTTGCTTTGTCTATTCAGACATGTTTTGTCCTTGTTATTTAACATACCTTATAATTTTGTTGTTGTTGTTGAAAGCCAGATGGGATAATAGAAACCAAGGTAAATATGCTTCTAATGTGAGACTTCATATTGAGATGGCTAGGAGTTAGGCTCTGTTTCATGTTTGCTGCAAGTGTAGGTGCCAGAGTCGTTAAGTCCCTCTAGCGTTCTCATTTTTATCTCCCTGTTGTCTTTGGGCTTCTCTAAGAACTTCTCCTTAAATAGAATTTGACACTCTTGCAGCTCTTACAGCTGTAATCCACTCTTAACTACACTGGAGCCTTGTTGGTGTGCTGGTAAAGTGGAGGGGAGGGGAAGTGCTCTATAATCTTATTATTACTTCTCAGTCTCTTAGTGGCCTGTGTCCCTGGGCTGCGACATGCACAAATGTTTCTTAGACTTTTCTTTTGTCTCCCCTGAGAAAGAGACAAGAAGGCCAGAAGGGCCTAGAATGGGAAAAGGCTCTGGTAAGTCTCTGCCCCTGGAGAGGAAGCCTTTGTTGCGGAAAACCCTCTGGGCATATTTCACAATGATTACTCTTTCCCTCCTTCTGCAAGGGTGCCAAAGTTTCCTGGAAGGTAAACCCATGAAAATGTGGGGAGTCCCCTAAGTCTATGGCCCCCAGGCATTTCTTCCTCTCATGATAGTCCATATTCAGCCTCCAGAGATGTATAAAATTTACCATATAAGTACTTCTACCTATTTATAGCTCCAGTGGCTTCTGCTCCAGATAAGGAGGTCTCTGTTGTAATTTTCTGAATTCATCTGTCAATCTAGATTTGGGGTTGACCGTTTGCCCTGTGACCTCAGTTCTTTGATGGATCCTTGAAAAGTCATTGATTTTCAGTTTGTTCATCTTTCTCTGCTTGTAAGGATGGGAATAACAACTTTCAAGCTCTTTACACGATGGATCTGGAACCAGAAGTCCTGGCTGAAGACTTTTGAAAAGTCTGCTCAATTTCTGTAAAAGCAGCAGTTGTGAAGGGATGCTAAACATTCCTAAGGAAGGTTCCAAAAGAAAAGAAAATCACCCAAAGCTACTGGCCCTTATTGTAACTCTCGCCCTCTGCACCTTGTGATGAGTGTTGGCCACTCCTGCCCTCAAGCAATGGTGATAAACACATGTGAGTGTGGGCAACTCCCACTCCCAAGTGCACTCTGAGCAAGAGTCAATGCACATTGAGATTGGTTGCCATGGTAGTTGTCATTAGTATCAATTCCCTTCTCATCTTGCAGTAGGAAATCTCTCCTACTTCTGGGTTTTCTTTTACCACATTCCAATTATCTGCTATGATGCCTATAACTTTCATGTTAACCTCCAGATGATGACTGCTGACCTGACTCATCTGTTGCCTCTGTCTCTAGATACCATGTTAGCTCTGCCAGGCTGGACTTCATCACAGCATCTGCTGAAACTGGACCCTCTCCCTGGCCACCCCCATCCCCTGCCCCCTACAGAAATAATAAATACTTCCAATTCTAGATATATTCCTCTCTGCATCTGCTTTGTCCTGCTCCTGAGATAAAACAGCGGAGTTCAAAAGAGAGCCTGTGAGCAGAACATGGGATAGCAGGCCACACATCTGGTAAAATGGGCTTGCCCATCCCGTTTAGGGAACCCCCTCTTCGCACTTCTGAGTTCATGTGGTTCAGATAGTATTAGCTCCATCCTTGCGCCCTCAGTGTGTGACTCCGGCTAATCCAATCAAAGTATCTCCTTCAATTGGGAATTCCATTGTTCAGGATGGTCATGGGACCTGGTCAGAGCCAATGAAGTATAAGGATAATTTTGGCAAGATTTAAGTTGCATATTTCTTTCTTACTGGACTTGAACCTAGGAGGATGGGATTGAGGGGAGGGGATGCAGATATGCTGTTGTCATCTTTCCACCTGGAAAAGATATAATAGGAAGGAATCAACACAGAGAGGTGGACCAGAGGTAGAGAGATGGGGGAAAAAACTGTGTCCTGGTGACTTCATGTGGCCCTGCAATCAAGCTGATTTTCACTTAAGATAGTACTATCCCTCAGATTGTCAGGTACATAAAACAAAGTCTTTTTTTTTTATTGTAGTTATTTGCTTAAGTCATTTCAAGTTAAAATTTCTGCCAGTTGCAATCCAAAGAGTCCCAAGTGACATAAATATAAAGTAATTGTTCTTAGCAATAGGGTGGAATAAAGAACCAAAAAAGGTTTTTTGTTGGTTTTGCTTTTGCTTTTGCTTTTGCTTTTGCTTTTGCATTTTCACCACACAAACTTTATCCCCTGCACCTGACTAGGGATTAGCTATGCCACCCTGGTCTCTTGCAAATTACCATCTGGCGGGGCACCCATGGTCTCTAACAACCCATGGTTTTCCCTATTGTCTTTCTCTTCCATTTATAATTCAGCTGAGTCAGCCCTACATTTATGCT